CTTCCCTTTTTTTCTTTTGGGGTTGTCCAAATTTCTAACAATTATTTGTCACTTTTTACTATGAATTCCTCACATCCTTTTATTAAAGTAGTTAGTGTATTACATTTTGGAAAGGTGTCAAATTTCTCAAAGATACATCTGGACTAGTCACCTGATTATCTTCTCTTTCTAGAAAAAAATATTAGTTTTTTCCCAAGGCATTTGCAGTTCAAGTTTATTTGAAGACTTTATTTTTAGGGGGGAGTGGAACAACGTTTATTTCCAAAATATTGTTACATTCAGAAACTCTTCTAATTTAAACAAAATGTTTATCAAAAAATTTTCACTTTCTGTTATTGTCATTTATATTCGTCAGCATCTATATTTTTGACTGTTATAAGGCTTGTAAATCAAGTGCATGAAAGTATTATAAAATATACTGTTGTGTATGAATACCCAACCAAAGGTACCTCACACTGACTTTTGCAGTACCTAATGTAGGCTCTGAAATGAAGAAACCTTCCCCATAACCAGCAGTGGATTTTCTGTACAGAGACTCTGAGCCTCATTCAGTTGTACCAAAAATTAATCCTTAGATTCAGATTAGATCCAGAACAGAACAAGGGAAAGCTACATGTTTAAAATACAACTGTTAGATTATCCAGCCAGCATAGCCACTGGCTGGGGGAATCTGGAAATGAGAGTCCCAGAAGAAACTTCTCTAAATTCAGCTAAAGAGACAACCTGTCCTTTCATTCTTCAGTGTTTTGTGTCCAGCTCTGGTTGATGGGGCTTGGGTTTCTCGTTGATAATGAGGATAGAGCAGATATAACAAGCTTCCGTCTGACACTTGGCAGGCATCTGTCACACACATATGCTCACACCCATTCTAAACCCTTTCCACACCACCCTCACACGGCCTGAGCAGGCTTGGGCTGTGACCAGGTCAGCACCAAATCTGCCACGGCTGTGGGCAAGTAAGAGAGAGGAACAAAGAAGAACTGGGAGTCCCACCCGGCAGAATAGCGCGTGCGGGGATGCTTGGAGATCAAGGCATGCGCCATGCAGTCAGTGACCAGGTAAAGGTTGGTGTCACAGCGGGTCATAAGGTCATTTTTGAAACTCTGGGAAACTGCGAGGAAAACAGGGAGAAAGAAAGAATTGCAGTAAGGACATACGTAGTCCAAAATATTATAACACCACAAAATGACGAAATTTCATAGGTGACACATTAACAATTTTAAAATACTGTAATGCACCAAAGCTAGAGCTTATCATACACATCTTTCATTTTCAAAAGGTGTTTATAAATTTGGAGAAGTCTGGCACATATCCAAATTACTGTTTGTTACATTTCTATCCCATCGTTGCCCCAATAGACTGGAGGCGGCACACACGGCTCTTAAGACCCACTTTCATTTTCACCTCAGCCCTGTGAAGTAGTCCACACTGATAGAGTGTGACTGTCTCTTACGTATAAGCAAGTGGGACCTGCCATGTACGGAGGAAGAGATAGGGCAGTTGTTAGAATAAAAATAGAGGCAGCCTTGATTTTAGATAGAGGGTCAGATCACACCTGAAAATAAATAGCTAGCCCCTCCTCTTACAGTGTAACCGCTCCAAGTATGCTGATCTATCATACCTGAAAACAAAGCCTTGTTATTTACCAAATGATCAATTACAAAACAAATCAGGCTAGTTTGTCAAATGCATATTAAACATAGAATAAATAATCTTTTTCTCAGAGTGCACTGCTTCTGGAATCAGTGGGCTCCTCCTGGGGAGAAGGTACAGCAAGGGTTTGGGGTTGGTTTGTTTCCATTTAAAAAAAAAGATTTCTAGATTCTCTTAGAAGAGAAGAGGTTTTGAATCTATACCTTGGACGTGATTCTGAGCACACCCCACTCATGAATCATGGGTGAATCATGATGAATGGGGGAAAAGAGAGACTGGGACCTTCTCCCTATCTGGAAGAACCCATTCTCATTCGGTGAAGCCCTTAGACAAAGATCTAATCCTTGACAAAGATGCAGTCCTGCAGTGGCTAATCTCTATTTTAGTTGGCCCACACATCAAGCATTTCCCATGGACCAGGAGAAACT